AAATAAAAATAAATGTAACAAACGTAAAACTATGTAGCAATGTTTTAGGAAGAGGTTAACGAATAATTTCGAAGACCGAGGTTAAGCTTTGACGATTGCAAAATCGATGTTAGGGCAATTTGTAACCAGAGAGCCACGTCGCACGAAATAGTGCTCGACTTTCGAGCAAAAACAAAATTGGAGCAGCGATACTAATAAAGATCCTTAAAAAAAAGGAAAGACCGAAGAGAAGTGAAGGTAGTGAGACAAGTGAACCTACTCAAGGGAAAGTTCGAGGATTTTTATTCAAGCATTCGTAAATGATTCTAGGATACGTTCTAGTCTATCGGATAAGGGGCTCTGAGCTGATGGGCTCCGAAACTGAACAGCGACGGTGTAGAACCGCGGCATGCCGGTAACAACCGTTTTCATTGTAATCCAGCTACAGTTGGTACGTGCTAAGTACGCGCAGTTAAGGGCCCTCCTATCTAGAATACAGCCACTCGACGGGGCTTCGGTTTACACGACAACAGCGAGGCTGGGGAGGAGGAGGAGGAGGAGGTATACGTGTTCCCGGGCGAAATCATTTTTCCCCCGCAACGAGCCATTCAACGTTTCGTCGGTGCTGGAATCGAGGTAACAAACGCATTCTCTCTCCGTCTTTCTCTAACAGGAGAGGGAGAATGCGTATCGAATGGGAGGACGGGTGGCGCACGCGATTTCTACTGGAAAATAAAGGTCGCTTACACACGATGGAACGCGATACAGTTACTGTTTCGCGTGCGTTAAAGTACGACGTAGCCAAGGGGATTGTCGCTGGGGAAAGATTCTGGTAGAAAGGTTGTTCGACGACTACAAAGTCTTGGCTGATGGCCAACTTTCTTTTTCTACCGGCTTTTGTCAAGTTGACTGCGATTTATACATTTTTCATTGAACTATACTCGTCGTGGTTAATGTTTATTAAGGAATTTAATGAAAGCAAGACGTGAATGAATCACTAACATATTATTATGATACCTAAAGACTGAATATATAAATTCGCAACACAAGAAATTGGAGTTTAATTTTGGAAAAAATATCAAACATTAATTACGTCAGGAATTATGGCTGTGAGGTATTTTATTTTACTACCAAACGTGGTTCTAATATAAGGAATTTAATGAAACTTACAAGGGACTTTCAAAATGGTTCCATCTAAGAGTCTCTGAAGTTTCATTAAGATATCTTCACTGATTACAACCAAACATAATTCATACGTTGCCTTAATCATTGACTTGAACTACTTGTATAAGAGTGTTTCAATGTTTCGTGTGAAACTCTGCACTTCAAATTGCAATAACTTTGGTCCTAATGAAGGGAATTGAATGATATTTACAAGGGACTTTCAAAAGGGTTCTACCTAAGTGTCTCTAAAGTTTTATTAAGATATCTTCACTGATTCATTCGTAAAAACAAAGGAAACAGGTATTATAGCAGTTATAACACTTAACCTTATGTACAGATAGATTGCCTATCTCTGGCACTCTCTTAAGAGTGCTAACTATATCAGTAAAATGTAACAACATTCATACTCTGGTGTATAAATAAATAAATAAATAAATAAATAGAAAATTACTAGCAGATAATTGATCCTATCCAGCTAAATGGAAGAGGTTGCATCAACTAATAAACACTTAATATTAATTTATTAATATACGTTCACAATAATTCACAAGTATGAAACTCATATTTCACTGTTAAATATTAATAAAAAAATTACTTCAAATAATTAATAATGTACTGTATAAAAAAACTGATAATAAATCTAACGACGAAACGAATGGAATAAATTAATAAAGGAATGCATGAAAAGTACCGGAACTGTGTTGCACATCGTGCAATGAAAAAGAGGCACTAGAAGTGCCAAATGTATAGAATTAGAATAGAAAACGCACAGGACTCTGATGTACGGAAAGAGCAACTCGAAAGGTCCGATTCGAAGAGACGCGTCGAGGAGAACCGGTGACGAACGGTAATCGAGAAAAGTCGACACCCATAATGGAAGCAATTAATTCGTCGGCGATCAACGTTATTACTTTCGCGGGCATCTTAGGAAGGCCAGGGGGACGTATATTCCCATTTCTATGCGGGTCACATCCAGATCAGCCGGCCTTGCTCCTCTCTCTCTCTCTTTCTCTTCCAGTTCCCAACCCCCTGCAACCCCCGAACCGTCTCTGCCGGCACCCTACAAGAAGTTAGCACTTCTTTTATGGACGTCGGAATTGGAACACAGAATTGCGGTAGTTTCGCGGCGAAAGTATCAGAATGGTATGTATGAAATAAAACGGAATAAAAATTGCTGAAGCCTTTCGTGCTACACCGACGAGAGCGCGCGGGAGGGGGTGGCAGCGTATCAAGATATATAAAGGTGATTAGAAACCAGCGTATTTACTGGGTTTTTACACAGCGGTTCGCTGGTAGAGAAACGACTCGCAGCTTGAGGAATTAATTTAATACTGACAGTTTCCGTACCCTAAAATTTACATTTTTTATATTTAATTTGGTGTTAATATTGAATCCTAATTTCTTCGTCTCACGATTTCTACTCACTGGCTTATGATTACATGTAAAATGGTAGGGAAAGAAGCCAGGCTGAAATTGTTATGTAAATAGAAGTTGGGTCATTTATTATACTGTATACCTTAGTTAGTTCTAGTAAGGGAGGAAATCTTTAGTCTTTATGATTAGGTATAAAGATAGGTAACATGTTTTCGCTATTTAGCTAACAATTAGTAATAGTCCTGATACATCGTTTATGAATCAAAGTATAAATAACAAGGTTGGACAACAAAAAGGCAAACATTTTCCTATTACATATTAGAGCAGTCGTTTTAAAAACAGTCATTTGACAGGTGCAGGTCGTAAGCTCGGAACTAATTACATTCTATTTATGTGATGCATAAAATAAATGCATCCACGTTTTTAACGATCACAGCCAGCGATGTATATCGCTAGCAATTTTTAAAAGTGAGGGAACCTAACATAGATCCACGTTCCTATCGGTCCCAGCGACGCATATCGCTCACGAAATTGACGGGAGCAACGGAGCATACCCAGTAGCACAATGTACCGGTTGAATTTATCTTAGAGCCGGGAATAATGGTTCGGAACCATAAATCTGCAGTATAAAGCGGCTGTACCTGATTTGTTGCCGGCCGTTGCCGTATGGGCGAGGGTGGCTGCTGCGGTCAGTTTCGGTGGTTCTATCTTCTGCGGCATGCTGTGAGCCGGTATAGGGCCTGGGTTCGTCATAGTGGTCATCGTTGTCGGCATCATCAGGGTCGACATAGTCAGCATCTTTCCACGGTTCGTGTTTCGCCGTGGCGAACTCCGCTCTCGCTAGTCCCCCACGTGACTGACGACCCTACGTGCACGATTTTCGAAAACGAAGCTTTTCCTGTTTTCCTCCTCCTCGCGCTTTCTATCCAGGTTTTCCTCTTTCTCGTTTTTTTATATCTGGGCTTCTTCTTCTACTTTTTTATATCTGTAGTTTTCCTCTTAATCGATGCTTGATATTTTCTTTGGTTTTTCTTTCTATTAATATTTGGGTTTCGAAATTTTTGCAGAGGTCAAAGTCACGTGATCGAAAATATTCTCACGTATTCAAGGTGACAGAGGAATTGTAGATCTACGTAGATATTGGATGATCGATGTTAATGTTCGACGAACATGACGTCAATTGATTGATAATATTTTTAATTGATTGGCAAGATTAGGGTGAACGAGGATAAGAAGTTGCTACACATTACTTGCTCTGGGATCTTCGTGTTTTTTTATAGTAACGTCAAGATTGTGGCGATTCTTCTACTAAACGACATCACTCTTTTTACACATGTCTGGTTGGTTGGACTAATGACACGGTTTATTGGTATTTGTTAATATTTACTTCTTAACAGATTCCTCGTTCCTTTTCTAAGTAACTTTCTTACAATCGTCAATATGTTTTACTTTCCACTCGCGATATCGTCACCATTTTTTTTCTAACTAAACTTAAATCTCTATTTCTTCTCACGATTTGTTATTTTGTTTTCCAACGTGAACTTTCAAAGAGTGAACCAGTGTGACCGTTCAACCGTCAATAAGTGAGTCAATCTGATTCTCTCAAACGCCGATCAGCGATTCAATGTAGCCCTTCAATTTCCAATGACTGAATCAACGTGACTCACGAATCATCAACCAGTAAATTAATGTGGTCCTCCGATCTTCAATGAATGAATCAACGTGACCCTTTCAATCTTCCAGACGAACAACCACTAATATTTTCGATCCCAGCGTCACTCACAAAGTTTACGTTCACTAGTTCACTACTTTTGTTGGCTCGCAACAATCCGGCTCGGCCGGCAATTCCCAAGCGTCAGTTATTAAAATCCGTCGACACCCACGCAGTAGCGTGCGTGTGTACACGCGGCAGTACCGCGTCTACGCCAAACGAGTCACAACGATTGTACTATTTCGATCTAACAATAACACTCGACTCGAATTTCTACGAACCGACGTGACACGAAGCGCACGTCACTGGGAACGTTTGTGTACTACGCGAGTAATCGTACGTTTATAACGCGAGACGGTGTATTGATGGTAACGCGACGACCGGGACACGTCGGCGACGACTAGAGACGACTCGGTTCTCTACGCTCTCGACGGTGCGCGCGGTTACGTCACGTCCGGCCGAGCGCAGAGTCGGAACTCGTCTGGCGGGGAGAGCGCGAAGGGACGTCTGCCTTTGCCTGCCTGCCAACCCTGGACGCCCGCCGCCGTCGCGACGCCCAGAGGCGCCGGCGTTCCCGAGCGTCCGCGGAATCGCACGAGTTAAGACGCGAGCCGCCAGTCGGTCGCTCGCCGCCAACGTGAAAGGGTTGCTTTCGATGCGGCGGTACATATGCGATACTGGGATACTGGCGGATGCTCGCGTAGTTTCCGAATTATTCACGCTCCCTTTTCTTTTCTCGTTTTCCGCTCGTTTACTCTATCGCTTTTTTCCACCACCGACGTACACACCCCTCGCTTCTCTCTACTTTTCTGTTTAACGTGCATACGCCACACTATCACAGCGATTGCTTTGAATTTTCACTCCACTTTGGTATGGAAATTGTTACTTTACGTTTGTGTAAATAAACGTTAACATTGGACAATTGTAATAAATGTAAGATTTTCCTTAAAAGAAAGATAGAATGGAAATTTTGCCAGAACACAAAAATTAGTTATTCTTTGGATAAGCAGAGTGGCTGATGTTTTTCGTATTATAATTTCTCTGTATTTAATTTTCTTTGCTGATTTATTTTTATTCTTATTATGATTATCTTTAAATTTATTTAGTAGAACTGAATTGTATTGTTACTGTTAATAAAAATTGTATCAATACCAAATACAATATATGTGCTGCCTTAATCATTGACTTATACTACTTGCTTCATTACTCAAATTGCACTAACTTTGGTTGTAATGAGGGTAATTGAATGAAACTTACGAGGGACCTTTAGAAGGTTTATACATAAGTGTCTCTAAAGTTTAATTACGATATCTTCACTCATTCGTTCATAATGAAAGAAGCAAGTATTATAGCAGTTATTCAGTTTTTAATTAGAATTCTTCACTTCAAATTGCAATAACTTTGGTTCTCATGAATGAAACCTACAAGGAATCTTCAAAAGAGTCCTATATAAATGCCTCTATAGTTTTATTAAGATATCTTCACCAATTTATTAATAATTGAAAAACCAAATAAAATGGAAATAAATGAAATTTACCAAGGATCTGTTTATCACATCTATAAACGAAATCCTGCACCTAAAAAAGCTCTGATAACTGTTTAAATCGAAAACCTTACAAGTAATAGAAACAATATATTGCTTATAGCCACTCTTACTGTCTCTAGCGTTAGAATTATTTGAGAAAAATGTGAAATAATTAATGTCTGTTAGGGGAGTCAGTATATCTATACTGAACGCAGGTCGATACGTCTGTATGCGAAAGTGCCGACCTACCGAAGCGCGGTTTGACATCGAAGAAAGCATGTTCGCTTAGTGCCATCTCCTCTGCAAACACTTCGTATTATGTCCTGGAAATATTCACTTCGCCTCGAATGCCCTACAGATGTTTGAACTTTCGGCGATTGGCAGCGCTATTTCCACGCGCGATGGTTATCGACTACTACTTTACGATGGTTTGTCAACCATTTTAATAAAAAAAGGAGACCATGTAACGTTATTTGCCCTCATATTTACGAGTCTACTAATGCTTATGTTAAAATTCAAATAACTATTTAATCAAACGTTCGTCGTATCGTCTGTCAAGTATTTTATGCAAGTCATTTCACTACGTAAAGGGTTCTTGTATCCTTAAATATTTACTGCCATTGAAGAGAATTAATTTCCCTTGTTAATCAAATTTCATTCTAAGACAACACTTCTGAAACTCATCGTGAATTTTCTAAACTTTGCACTATTGGTTTTCCTCCATCACAAATTAGTGGCCAATAACACACCACAAACCGAACTTTATCAGCCTTTAGAAGTATATTGTAACGTGAAAATAATAATGTGTTTTCAAAATTTTTACCGGATTGCCAAAACGACCAGCCAAATAAACTTTTAGAATACGGGGGACGCAGCGGGAAGTCCGCGTCTGACCTAATACTGACTGTAACTACTTACCCACTAAGTGGCGCCGCTTGCTGGTACCGGGTCGAACTAGAGTGATTGCAATGCTACTCCTTGTTCGAACACCGAAAGGGTTTTACCTCTGTTTTCGGTAACATTGATGCGAGGCAAGGAAAGAAGCTACGGAATAGAAAATAAAGTTGCGAGGACAGATTATGCCGCGTGGCATGGCGTGTAGCGTCAATGTGGCAAAGTGGACACAGGAAAATCCTACATTCATTATAATTTAATCTTCCATTACAAACAACGTGTCAATATCGTATTTACACAGACTAGGTCTGAAATTCAATGAGTATTTCGTACTATAAGGCTGATAGATTGTGTCATTTGACAAGGTGTATGGCATGAATGTGGCATGGCATGTGACATGGAGTGTGACGTGAATGTAGCAAAGTGGAAACAAAGGACAACACTAAAAGATAGACACAGTCGGATGTCAGTCAATACTAACGATTGTTCGTACGAATGTTTAATAAACGAACGATTGTCGTTTTATTTCAATTGTTATTATTATTCCTTAATCATTTTTTTATATTGTGCATTACTAATAATAAATATACCTAAGAATCCAAATCTGAGTCCCTCCCTACCATAAAAGTGTGCTATATTTATTACAATTGCATCATCCACTACAGTACAGAGCAACGTGTTATCAGACAACGCATTGGAGAGAATATGTAGCCTCTCGTAACACGCGAGTTAATCCCCAAGCCTCGTAGCAATGAATTCGCGTCTAATTAATCATCGAAACTTTACTACACTACGCCTCGCGTATATTTCTCTTACTCTTTCCCATCGCGGCGGGGGAGATAGGGGCGGGTCGAAATCCGTTTGCCGAATAACGTTACCGGCGAGAACCAGCGCGTTACACGAGCCGAGGAACAAAAATACTCGTAGCCATCATTACTTAGCGTGATTTACAAAACTGAGTAGTCGCACGAACGCTGCCGAGAGCGTTCGTGGAACGGGAAACGGCAGCGACAGAAACTCGAATTTACGATTTGTTTAAAAAATAGATTCGAAAGGGTTCGCTCGCGTGCGTACACGACTCTGCAGAGTTTTCAAAACACGAAGGACACTGGATACGAGTGCTACCGGCGACCCTAATACTCGTGTACGCTTCGTATCGCGGAAAATAACTGATTCGTAACAGATTATAGTTCAAACTGGCCTTATCCTCTCGTAAATAGCATTTCGTAAAATACTCTAAGTGTAAAACATTGTTCATGAACATTTCTGCAATCTTCTTGGATTTATATTTCGAGAATGAAGAAACAATTAATTTAATCAATAGTCGAACGCTAATATCTGATCAAGAACATTTTTAGTCCATCCAAAAAATTGCTTTTTTTTCAATTTAACAAAGGAATTATATTTCTTCCGTTAATAAAAATTGTACCAATACGTCTTAGTCATTGACTTGTACTACTTGCTTCATTATTCAAATTGCAATAACTTTAGTTTCAATGTAGGGAATTGAATGAAACTTGGACGAGAGCTTCAGAAAGGAGCCACTCAAGTGACTCTCAAGTTTCATAAAGCTGTCATCACTAATTTCATACTTATTAACAAAAAAGGATGCTCGACATAAAAATTTAATATTTTTCTATGAACTATCAGTTCATTCGTCAGCCAGTGTGCAAAATGTTTGCAAAAAAATCTGTTATGTCATAATTAAACAAAATCTCGGTACATCTCATCTGTAAATTGTTACGCAATGTATTCTCTTACATTATACAGCAAGCATCGCGGTTTATTCCATGTTTTGCGGTTTAATGCATAATGAAATTTCGGCAGGATGCGGCCGCGAATATTATCCTATGCGAAACTGAAATTTCAACGCTGTCATTAATTTGAACATTAAACGATCAGCGCGCGGAACGAAGTTACCCCGCAGGTTTTGTATAAATAATTTGATAACCACGCAGGCAGCCAGTCAATCGAGAATATCGTGCATTTAATTATTACATAATTAAAACGGACGTAAACATTTGGCATACAATTATTTAAATACAAAGGAGGAACCGGCCGGTAATTAGATTCACGGGCCAATATTTACTTGCAAATTTGTTTGAACAGCCACTAAGTATACAGTTTTTATTTTTCATTATCGTAATTGCAGATCAGATTTTGTTTTATATAAATATTCATACGTGGCCAATTATATGCGTTAGGAATTAAAAGCTGCTGGTTTAAGCACAATGCTTTACGAATTTTGTTATATCAATCACTGCATTTTATTCATTCATCGGATGTTTACCAAATTTATTACGTATTTTCGATTCTCGTTTTTAATAACTGCTGCATTCTTTAATTGACGGCTCAATACCTATTTCCTAACGAATACTGATTACGAGATGACTGTTAAATCTCCTGTCGAAATTATATTGCATATTAAAAATTATATTATATTATATAGTATAACTTGTCAATTATATTATACATATATTCTTTAAATGTTTAGTAAATCTGTACCGATGCACTGCGTAATAATTCCGTTGTCTCGGATCGTATTGGAAATTCATGTCGAAGTCACAAATGGGACGAAGGGTGTGATGTATCAGCGGGGGGAAGGAGAGACAGGAACACGTTAACCAAATAGACAGTAGTCAGCTGGGAATCAAGCAGAAGTTACCAGGTAGTGATCAGTGATCAATCAGGCTCCGACTTCGAACCAGATGCAATCAAGATTCTACTCAAAACCCGAACCAATCAAGTTTCTAGTCAGCTGGAAATCGAGGTCAATCTGATTTCAAATGCGTCGAGATTTTGAGTACGCTTATCCATTATTATTTCTAACGATTGCGAATCAATTTCCAAATATTGTTTACCAAAATAGTAACCAAATTATATACCAGACTTAATATTACATAAACGATAACTATACAGATTTTCTCTAAAAAAAAATTGTAAAAACAAATTAATATAGAAACTAAATAATTTTAGGGACCTTTCGTTTGGCCAAAATATTTCCAACAATCTTTATTTTAAAACCATGATTATTTCCCGTTTGAGAAATTGTCGCTTTCATCAGCAGAACATACGTCCCATCGCATGGGTTGTCAAAAAACGAGGCCAGGCAGACAAGGCTAGAGAAAAAACGGTAGTAAAAAGCGTGGAGGCCGAGAAAGATGTCGGGATGAATGTGAAAAGTTGCGAATTCTATTTTGGCAGCCCGGTTGTCGATAGCTCTCGCGAATTCAGTGGCAGCCACGCCACATGAAGGTAGTAGTAGGTAGATAGGTAGGTACGTAGGTAGGTAGGCATCGTGGGTTCAGCGTCTCGGTTTGTCTCCTCCTTCCATCGCCGACAACTGCTACGCCCACGATCACAAACAGAATTATTTATGAGTTTGAACATGAGCCAGAGCTCTTCCGCAAGCTACTAAGATGCTACCCGACGATGCCAGTCGCATTCTCTGAATATCGGGATAAGACGCGGCGTTCGGGAACCGCGTCAGCCTGATCTTGCCACATTCTGCAATTTCGACGTGATCCCGGTTAAATTAAAGATGTATAACGATGCACGCGGCTCGCATCACAATGGGACGCGTGTAAACGTTCCTGGTTTTACTTAACGCCGCCCTCTGATGTTTTAGATGACGGCTACTGCATAATAGTAGACAAGTACATTGGCTAGGAGGGATAATAAGAATAAGAGTAGCATTCAGAATTAGGATGTTGCACGTGCAGTGGTGATGCTCGTGAATCAAGTGAGTACATCTTAACATTAGATCTATCAAGGGGGGTCAAATAAATAATAAATTACTGATAAATAAATTTACTATAAATTAACAATAAAAAATATATATTATATGAATATTGTTAATAATATATAATATTGAAGGATGCGCGGCGTTTTGTGAACGACGATCTTTCAAGAGATCCAACGATCGGTAAGCGTTGCGGATAGCAACCGGAAAACAGTAAGAAGACTCGAAAAGAAAAGACGACGTGCGAGTCAGATGGACGACGGCAACGCGAACTGAATGTGAGCGTTTTCGTACAAGTCCTAGTATTGTTTAAATATACATATCGTTTACGTTTCTCCAGTGTTTTGCCTCCCAAACCCAGCCATACAGAGGATAATTCCACAATATATATATTTATTATTAATACTGAATAAGATGTATGGCGGCTATGGCAATTGAAATTATCTATCGGTTTCATTGGAAGACCCAACATTATTCACATGGCTTCCTGGGTGGCTCACCGTGTATAGAAATTAATTTCTAAATAGTGTCTGAAATCTGAATTCGTACAGTGGTCTACGATCTGTGCATGATGAATTGTTATAGGTACGTATCGCGTGCGCGGATCTAAAATGGCAGTGTCTGATTTTTAAAAAAGCGTAATTCAGAGTTGTCATTGGTGAAACGTTAAGTAAAATATAGGTATCATAGATTTGGAAACGGAACGGAATGAAATATCGGTGGCAGAAAGCTATGAACATAAAATTTCATATCCAGATGACATAAATATCGGACGGCCGACGGGCCCGGTTTGCGTAACTTTTTATGATAATATCATAAATCGAGGAAACGAATTAACGCGTGATCATAACTGATACCGAGGGCTGATTAAAATCGAAGGAATTGAATGAACGGAGCATCGGTGACGAGCCTACGAGGGGGCGGACAGGGGGCATTATCATATTTAATGACGCGTCGTAAAGGAGTACGTATGTATAGGACGGACGGCGAGTGTACACATTTGCATGCCGCGCGTTTCGTTACAGCTAATTGAATTATACATTCATAGCGAATGCTGCTGCTATGGAAAACACGAAAATAACGAAACCGGTATATAGCCTCTATTAAAGAGGGAGAAGTACAAGGCTAGCGAGTAATGGGCTAAGGAAGAGTTTCCAGGGTAAACAACAAAAGTTTCTTTTGAAGGATACCGATACAGGAGGCTCAGCCATTATATCAGATAAGGTTCTCCTCATTATCCAACTAAAATACCGAACAACGGTGGATGCGGCGACGTGGGTGTATCAGTGCGACCAGAAAACTCTCTGTACGCCTCCAACTTTCCATTCTTACAATCGCCACGTGTTCACAGAATTCTCTATTCCAGTATGGAATAGTTAGAGATAAAAGGGTAACGTTTTTCGTGACTTAAAGCGGAAGTAAATAAAAATTAATTGTGATTAAAATTGAAATTTTTTAAAATTTTAATTAAAAACCCGTGAATTGATTAAAAATTTTACAGGTAGCTTCTTAATAGTAATATGAATCTATAATAACAAATTCAACATGTTAGCATTGTTTAAGTATATGGCCTATACATCCTTAAGTAACTTATCAAATTCGGTCGGAGCGTAGCTGGGTTCGCGTTTTTCCAGAGGCGGAACAGAAAATCGTAATTTAATGGTCGGCCATAAATTCTTATACACATCATCACGGCTTGTATAGTCACGCGGACACGCTGTCCCGTTAGTCTTGCGGTTGACATACGTGTATGCGCGATAGAGGTATGAACTTCCTACGTATATACCACGTACGTACGTACAAGGCGAGTGTTCGCAGCCGATGTCGTCCTATCAGCCCGATGGAGGAGTCATCGATCAAACCTAAGCGAGCGTGGTAACGACGGTGAAACTTGGGAGACAATATCCTGACTCGTGGTGGATAACTCGTTAAAGGAGCACGCTAATGGACAGAGCATCTGGCTACCTACGTAATTGGCTAAAGATACACTGCCTAGCACATCCATTTCCACGTATGAATTCCCTCCTTTGACAATATAAGCATAAACGAAAGACTTGCATACAGAAAAGATTGTATGAATACGTTGTGGGCATTGCAGTAATTGTATTTCGTACGTCGCATTAATCATTGACTTGTACTACTTTTTTCATAGAATTACATTGGATGCTGGATCTATTGAAGGGAATTAAACGAAATTTACTAAACACATTTAGGATGGTCCTGTCTAAGTGCTTCTTAAATGTCGTAAAGATATTTTCACTGGTTGATTACTAATAATTTAATGCTTGTAATAAGAAAAATGGACTTGAAGTGAGCTAGCAAAGTGACGTAGTCCACACATAAATGACATTGTAGTTGTCGTGTTATGCTAATGCTTGCGGTAGGAAAAATGGATTTGAAATGAACTGGCAATATGACGTTAACACAGTATCTTTAGGGAGGTGTCGAGTTAATCATTGCCGCGTTGGTATCGTAATGGTCCCGCGCCTCTTCGATGCGATTACCGTATCAACGACATATAGATATAATCGATATTCAGATGCGAACGAACGTTAAGGGAATACGCATAGCTTATAAATAATTTGAACGAGCGAAAAGAACCCGATTGAAATGCGTTCCGTATGAATATTAAGGCTCCTCTTTTCGTTTGTATTTGCACGCTCGTACGTTTATCCCTTCATCCATATTGGCCGTGCGATGCAATTATAGCAGCAACAATTTCAGTCTCGTCTCTTCTCTCTCTCTCTCTCTCTCTCTCCGTCCCTCTCGCTATGTATTGCGGCCGACAAACGGACCGGAATTGTTAATTGAATTTCTAGCGCGTTATCGTCGACGATGCAAAATAACACCGGGAACGCCGCGAGCCGAAAAGGCTACGGTATACTACGTATGTATATCGTGTATGTGTCTTCGATGTTTGGCGAATAAGCCACGCATTTTAAAATGCGCATGCATCAGCTTCGCTCGACGGGAATCGCGCGTTATCTACCCGTATCGTACGCTGCTATCTCGAATATATGTATATACGTATATATGTGTATAAGTATATAGAAGAGGTTTTAGACACTTCCTTAGAAAAGCCTTTGCAGTTTCTTAATTAAACGTACAATTTCTGTTTCTATTCACTTGCTTATGATTTCACTGGCTTATGATGATGATTTCTGGTCAGTGACTTATGATTACGTAGGAAATAATAAAAAAAATGAAGACTCGTTCAATGAGTTCCTACAAAGGCCCACCGTTAAACGAGCTTCTTAATTCTATGAACAACGTGTGACACGACATTTATCAGCAGTCCGTAACACGAATCCAAGTATACAAATAAAAAACTGTACTTAGGAAGAATTTTGCTACTTAAAGAGAGTTTGAGAAACGAGGACGCATCGTTCAATGAGTTCCTACGAAGACTCATCGCCGAACGAATTCCTTAATTCCATGAACAACGTGTGACACGAAATTTATGAGCAGGCAGTATACGTCGCGGAACAGTGGAAGTCAGTGTTTAGGCAGGGGCGGCGAAACTTGGAGGAAAAGTTTGTACTCGGATAATTGTTATTATCGCGTAGCCGGCTTAATTAGAAGCATCGAAATGGTTGCCTGGGGTGAGGTGGGGCGTCGGAGTAAATCTTAAGAATTCCCGTGCACGGCGACGGGCAGTCATCGTACGCACCGGGTGGCGGGTGCCCTGTACACGGTGCCCAGGTATATGGAGAGCGAGAGATATATATTTTCCGACTCGACGAAACTCCCGTTGCAAATCGTGCGGCACGAACCGGAAAACTTCGCTCCGCGCGGGAGTCTAACTTCGTTAAGACAAACGTTTCGAACAGAATTCTCTCTCTCTCTCTGGCCTGTTCCCTCCTGTGCCCGTGTACGACGAAGCGTGCCGCTGACGTCAGCTCGCTGCTACGCTCGCAAAGAAACTGGAAAAACTTCGACACTTAAATGTTGAACCCCCGACCGGGATGGAAGGTCCTCCGGCGATTAATAACATTTGTGATGAAAGAGACTCGACTATCTTTTAAGAGAAAATTAATTCCCGTTATATACGTACGTACGGTGTGTTTTCAGACGATTTCGCGACGTTTTTCCTAACTACCGTACAGAAACGGAGATCACTACTGCCACGCGCTACGACTGCTGCTTTGCGAAATCAATTCTTGGGAAGTTACATATTGAAAACAATTCAAATTACTGATTGTGGTTACAAAATGTGTGTTCGTCAAATATAAGGTTTAGTTCCCGGTACATAGTTTGCATTATTTTTATGTGGCTATGGATAAAACAGAGCAAAAAGCGTTAGAAAATTATTAACAAATGTTAGAAGAATCGCGTGACAATCCTAGAATCATTATAACTACCCTAGATCTGCCTTCTCACTGTTACCGAATTGTCACAATGATATAATAGCCGATTTGATCGTAAGAAAGTAACGTCGGCTGAAAAGAAACTGTGGAGAGTTTCGCATTCAACATTTGTCAAAGATAAAGAAAAACTGAGGATAGAAATATCCGGTGCTTGGCGTCGCAGTCTGCGTCTTTTTCTCGGACTTGGAAGTCCCTAGGCGTGCCCGGAAAATATTTCATGTTCAGTTAATTAGCGTAAGACAAACAACCGGAAGCTACGGCCTCAATGTGGACAACCTGCTTCGTTTCTGTTTCCCCGTTTCTCTTCTCCTATCCTCCCTCGCCCCGCCGATTCGCTCTCGCCATCTATACTATATAAATAATACCGGGCGGAACATTTAATTTTTCGTCTCGGCGACTACCGCCTGTTATTTTTCCAGCCGTAGGAATAACATATGTTTCATCAATATTTTTCGTGGATTTGTTATGACATTCTTTTCCTCAATGCCGCGCGCTGCTATAAAACTTTAGTACGTACGTACTATCGGGAAAATATTTATGTTTGATATTGCAGTGCTTATCGTTAGAAGGAAATATATGTCCACGTTTGGTCTGACACGTTTCACGTTGTTTCACTTACATCTTTTTTATGAGAGATACAAATAAAGATGCGATTCGAGAATAAAGATTTTTTACAATGAATTACGTTAGTGTTCAATCAAAAAAAAGTACAGTTCCGTCAATTTGACAGGTTAATTTATATNATATATTAAGATAACTCTATCACTGAGAACGTGGACTTTACAGGGAATTGTTCCGCGGCCGTGACTACATATCGTCGGTAGGTTAGTACAGCTCAAACAAACGATATCGTGGGAATCGTGATTCATGCTGGAATAGATTGCCGTCACGGATCGTTGATTAACCGATTAACCATCCGGCGCGACGCTAATAAGCCAATAACATTAAATCAGGCCACATTTATGCGGCAATAAAACGGACATCGTTACACGGTATCAGTAGCATTCGTAGACAGTCCGAAGAAACCGTAATAGAGGAAATCAAGATTGAATAGAACAAACTAGAGAACAATGTCTGTACGGTCTCTTCCGGAATAGGGGCTCGCGATCGTTGGGCCAGCCAGGTCGAAACTCGTACCGAGCCAATGTTTCATCTCTCGTGCAGGCTTGGAAATTACCGCGGGCGCCCGAAGATGTGATCGCAGCCAAGAGCTATACCCCATTATCATGCAGATATACGCGCGTAACAATTCGGGAAGATGTACGCACGCAGACGGTGGAGCACCAATCTCTCCCTTTCCTTATTTCAAGCGGACCCCTTTACTAAGCGTAAGCGGCCTGGACCGGGTGAGATCGAGTTCAAAGAGATACGCGGCGAAATTGCCGTGCAACAAAAGGCACGCCGCGCTGCGAACGCGGAGAGCGAGCACAGAAGAAGAGCGAGGGGTCGGGAGGGTGGTCCTCATAAATAAGTTGATAGAGTTCTCTGTTGGCGGGAGCGAGAGAGTTCACGAATTAGTACATCAGTGGGTTGTACGCGATTCGGCCGATATCTAACCGGGGGCCGTACAATGGTTAGTAAAGCAAACGCGGAGCCGAATTGGCGACCGCACGAGTACGGTAGACCACAGTAGCATAATAACCGAGAGTAATGCGTGAATTATTGACTGTTTCCTATCTTCCAACCGCCTCACACTCTCGTGCCCCCGGCCCCGGCACTCTGCACTGTAAAGCGTGCATGCGTTCCCACTCTACCTTTGTCTGATCGTATTACATGGTTTCGTACATGGAGACAGGCTTGCTATGAATAATCGTCAGGAATTTCTTCTACTGTCGTTATTTCATTTGCTGTTATTATTCTGTGCCTTACTTAGACTCTTCATACTAACACTACAAATG